TTGTATTTGCATAAGTGAATATCAAGTTTCTTATATCAATATTTATCCTTTTTAGGATGTAATTAATTAAAAAGGCTTTCCTCTTTAGTGATATCAAACCCCAAGATTAAAATAAATCCAATTTTAAATGACAGAGTAAGGACTTCTTGTTTGTAACCCCATGGAGTAGTGAGACAATCACTTTGCGATTGGAACTATTTTCTGGTAGTATTTTTATCCTTTTGGATGATATAGTATTTTCTTGATATTGAATTTGACGACAAATAAAAATATTCATAACTAATGTGTGTGATCCCTCATAGTACATACAGCTTTATACTCAAGTTAATTTAATTTGATCATCAACATAGGGCTTCTAAGTGTTTTGTAATGGTTTAGATATGTTCTTTTCTCATTAAATTACTTTATATATCTATTCTTGCATAAATGTTTTTACGAGTGAATTTCCCCCTTACTATCACCCTATTTCTCCATAATAACAAACTTGCATTCTTCATTTACTTAGTTTTCTTAAAAATTTCTTATTTTGGTTTTCTTATCAACTCATAAAGTAAATCAATACTACAAATAAAAAGTATTGGTAAATTTTGTACTTCCTGGTTGCAATTTTTATAGGATAATATTCATATTCATTACTATATTACTTGCTTAATTGGGTACTCTGTTGTGTGCAATTTTGCATCACATGATTCAAGTGATCTAAATATATCTTTGAGATCTTTTTGTTATATGTTGATGACATACTAATGATCTGGAAATAGAATTTAGATAATATTTATCCCAATTCATGGGATATCCTATAGATTAAAAATAGTTTGCATACGTGAGTCTAACTTTGCGTTGGGCTTAAAATTTTTTCATGACATATAAGAGAAAGATCATGTGTATGCTATAAAAGACTCAGATCAAAATATTTTTATGACAATATAAAATGTAAAATATAAAACCCATATACACTCTATTAAGAAAGAATATATTTTAAGTATTGATTATTATCTTATATTATACAAAGAAAAATGTTATATGTATATCATTCATTATAAAAAGACATGGAGATGTGTAATGTACTCTATGTTGTATGATCACCCCAATATTTCATTTTTAATGAGACATTGTTCACCTAACTTTATGCTACCACGATTGAAATCATTGGCAAGTCATGAATAGAAACTTTTGAGACTTCATCAATATTGTTGACCTAGCTTTATGCTATCAAAATTGAAAGATAATTTTAACTAGTTATATTAATATTTATTAAGTATGAGAGTGGAAGATTAACATGAACATAAGTCCACTTATATTTGTGGGTGCATGTTGTCTAATTTGTGTCAAAAAATAGTTGCATATTTCATCATCTAGCATTGAAGCTTTAACAAATATCTAACTTAAATGATTTCTTATACCCTTTATATTAAGAGTAGAATAACTTGTATTATTAGCACTTCCGCAAATGTAAGTGCATATCATCTTGAGCTTTATAGTAGCAAATAACATATAGATTTGAGATAACAATACATTAATGACTTAAATGCATAAATTAAGACTACCACTATGCATTCATTCTTGACTGTTGTTCTCTAATACATTTTTAAAACCAAAAAAATTGGTTACATTCTAGGCTCATGAAATTAGTCTTGTTTTGCATAAGATTTTATTTAATTTTCAGATGATATCATTATCTTTGTTAAATAAATTAGACTTTAACTTATCTAAACATATGGGACATTTACATTGATAGCACACAATTCCTTAGTATTTACATATCTCACACATAAACTTTTACACATATGTTGCTTAATTTTATATATTTTTTATGTTCTAAGAATTTTAACAAATGAAAATTTAAAGTTTAATTCTACATTGAAAGAGCTACGCTTTTGACAATATTAAACTTAGGGACGGAGTTAGAAATATTTTTTATAGGAACACAAAATAATGATTCAAAATAATTTAGAGGACAAAAATTATATATTTTTAGTGAATAAATAGTTAAAAAAATATAAGTATATGATAGAAAACAAAATTTAATAATTAATGTAATAGCTAGCAAGATAACTACATGTAGGGAGAGTAAAAGCGAGTGTCTATGATCATGAGTTGTCAAAATTCATTGAATATAATTGATCGACTTTTATTAACAATGTCAAAACTTAAACATTCACTTTGGTTCATGGATGTCATTGATCTTACTTGATCCTTACTGACATCGTATGCATAAATTATTCCATACGGACATCATATGCAGAGATTTATACGGTGTCGATCTCCACCGTCCATCACAACAAAGATGTATGACAATGGGCCCTATTTTAAATTTTTTTTTTAAAAAAATTGCTATGATGGACAGAATATGAAACCAAATTTACAGGTAAGGAATCTAATACTAAATTTTTAAATGTATTACTTTACACACACACACACACACACACACACATATGCATCTTCTCTTGTTTAAACACTATAGTCAATTAAGTTATTCTATATCATTATAAAAATAAAGTAGAGTGTGACCAATGGGAATAAAGCTAACAATGAGTGCTTATACTACGGTACCATTAAACTAGAATAAACCATCACTCCTTAAATATTTCTTGTTATCTCAAAATCAACAATTAAGATTGCTTCAAATTCTTACGATCCAGCATAAGCATACAACTTAGAGCATGATTAATTATTTTTATATTATCTATTCATGAATGACTTCACAAAGAATGAATTCTTGAGTGATTGCAAAGATTATGAGGTTCGCAAATAATAGTGTATAAATTTTTTTTCTTAGCCTCATAAATTAGTCAACTTTGACATGATTTCCCTCCTCAGCATGATTGTGAGGCTACAACATTCCAAACCTGAGAATAACATGCTAAAGTTGCATCATCAAGTCTACACTTTATGGCATAACTCTTATAACTATTATATAAAGGCTCATATAATCATAAAATGGGGGATTCATTCATCAACTATTTAAATGTTGTTATGTGAAATGCATTCTAAGCTGGAGTAAACACATAAGCTAAACTCCCTGCAACTCATAATGAGTTTCAGTTCACTTAACATGTAGGCACATAACTTCTTACTTATCTTGTTCGCTAATAAAATAATAATATAATTACAATTCTGAGAGCTTCATTCTTAAATCAAAGGAACTTCTAGTAGTATGTACAACATAAGTATTGTGTGATATAAATGTAAATAGTATGTACAACATAAGTATTGTGTGATATAAATGTAGATAGCTCAAATGATAAAAATTTCAAGTATCAGTATGAATGAGTGAACGTATAACTGATTACCTATGCTTTACCCGAATCAATTGACTCCATATAAAGCAAATATAATAATAATAATAAAATATGTAAATTTTAGGTAGAATCAGTCAAACTAACATATATAGCTTCCATTTGACTGGATATGTCAGCGTTCATATGCATGTACGTAATAATTAGATGCATGCATGAAGATAGAAAGTTTGCTTGATTTTCTTGCCTAACACGCAATGAAGCTGTGGCCAGTTAGCATTTTCTTAACTGGTTAAGTAGAGTATTTAAACTAATTAATTTATCTAGGAAATTCAATTTTTATTGGGATTTTTTCGGACGTCAAGTGAACAAATCAAGTACAGTATAATGCATGCATCAATCCTCCAAGAAATAGCCATACCAGCGCTAAATTGTTGATACATCACATTGAACATATCATGTGATTTATTTACTCCTTTTTTTAGTTTTTTTGAGGTTTTGATGTTGAGAAATTTACATATTGTGCATTAAAAAAATATGACTACATAAATCTAGAGGAAAGTTAGACACCAAAGGACTGCATTGAGATTGTTGAAAGACGGAGATGCTAAGAATTATTTCCTTAGGTTGGACCGTGGGTCGACCGAGCAAAGGTACAGTCGAATGAAAGAACATTATGCACCTGACATGAATTATTACATCCTTCTGTGAGTTCAAGAAGCCATTCATGACATGGTTTGCTAGTCCTCAAAACTACCGCAAGAACTCTTAGGCTCTGTGGCAAGTCAAGCAAGGGACAAATGAGTGCCTTTGAGCATATGCCACTCAAATCCAAAAGAAGATTCTAGAAGTGATAAATATGGAGCCTGCGGTAGCACGGGCTGCCCTGACATAAGGGCTTAGGAGTACACAATTCAAATACATTATGGGCTTACATCCACCTAGTAATCTAGCCTAAATTTTGGAGTTGGCCAACTATTATATTGCAATAGAGAAATATGTTCACTTGTCTTAGCAAAAAGGCAAGAAATCCGACCGCCGCTAGGAGAAAAAATGGTTCATCAAATGATGGGTGGAGAGTGAAGGATGACCCTCGCTCCAAACACAACAGAGGTTAGTCACCTCATGGTGAAGAGGGCTAACAAAAATTCTTGAAGACAGAGTTGATCAAACAACCGATCGACTGGCAACTAAGAAACACTAAAACTCACTTAACTGAGATCAGAAGCCATTCAAATCTTTTTGCTATGTCAACTTTGTTGTCGCTAAATCATTATTAAAAATATTTCCTACGGTTTATCCGTTAGTACAGATGGTATTTCACTGTCGATAATAAGCTATATTCCTATAGTGGTTTAAACCACGCTCTCTTCATGAATATAAAGTATTACAAACAAATCATAAAGCGGGGGTGTGACAGAATTTTTTTTAAATCAGAGCATATATATATATATATATAATTGAATATTATGTTTTACTAACATACCATATATAGGTGGTATTAATTTATTTTTATCATCAATTCATTTTCAAGGAATCAATTTCTTAAAAGTAGGAAAATATCAAGAATATATCTAAAATAGAAGTTTAAGCGTTATATATCTAAATACATAAAAACCGAGTTGTACATATGTAAATCATCCAAAACAAAAAAAAATCTATCTTATAAACATGAATAAACTCATGAGGCCCACTTTCCCTTTACACAACTTGACTTTTAAAACACTCCAACATATTCATTTCATATCTCTTCTTCCATCCCTCCAATCACTTTCCTCCTCCCTTCCAACTCCCTTCTGAATGTCCTCTTCAAGGTACGTAAGAGATTCATATCTCAGCAACAAATCAAATTCTCAGCCTCCTCCTCATCCTCCTTAAACAACACTTAAAAGCTTCTATAAACTTTCTTTTGACCCCCAGGAAGAAAATTCAAGATAGAGGAAAGAAGACAACAGAAGAAAGAGCTGCAGAGTTTGTATCCATCGCTACTGTAGATAACACAAAACAACACGTATTGAACACTACAACGCCCTGCGCTGCCTGCAAGCTTCTACGCAGGCGGTGTGTGTTGGAGTGTCCTTTTTTCCCCTACTTCTCTCCCAGTGAGCCCCAAAAGTTTGCAGCCACTCACAAGGTCTATGGTGCTAGCAATGTCTCCAAGATGCTAATGGTAATTACTGTGCTTTTAATATGAGTTTAATTTAATTTGATTTGAATATCTTTATTTACTTATTTATTTATTTATTTATTTTAGGATATAGTTGAGATTAGATTGTCGTTTTAAAGCACAAGAAACTTGAGTTGCTTCATCTAAGATTTTATTTTGCTTAGGGACTACTATTTGGTGAACATAGCTCATAATTTTCTTCTGTTTCTGTATGTGTGTGCGTGTGTTGCGTACCCCTGCCTGTTGGTTAGTATCCACGGTATGAGATCACTCAAGTCGAGGGTTAGAATCCCCTCTGACACACTTGGCCATATGAAGGTGTTACTCGAATTGTCAGGCACGTTAAGAATGATTGGAGGCTCGTATAATAACCTTTGATTATTCTTTAATATATATATATATATAGAGAGAGAGAGAGAGAGAGAGAGAGATTTTTAGTCTATGTTATGCTGAAGTAATTTGACAAGTTGCTAAAGTTATTAAACACGATCATTTTTCAAGTGTGTATGATAAAATTCTTAAAAAAAAAAAGGTGAAGAAGATATATATGTTAAGTCCTTTTTTGAATTTTTTTTATTATTCTAAGAAATAATTAAAAATGCCTTTTTAATCATTATTTTATTGGGACATTTATAAATATATCACAAAATTCTTATGCCTTTACATCTCTTACATCTAAACTTCCATATTTACCCTCATAACACCTAAAACCTCAATATCACATCATAAATATCATCATTGTTAACTTTTTAAAAGCAAAATTCATCATTCATGCATGAATTTATGATACCAAAGACTTACAAGCATAAATATCAAACTCTAAAGTCTTAGATATCAAAATACATTAAGAATTGTGTGGTATGCATGTAAATTTCCTTTTTTTTCCCGCTTCTCAAAACATCAGATAAATCCAGAAAACATATCGACATAAACTGGTGAACGGAGACTTTTTATTTATTTATTTTGCATTTCTAATTGTTTAGGGGACATTAATTTACATTGTGTCTGTGTATCACGTAGAAGGTCCCGGAAGCACAGAGAGCTGATACAGCACGCAGCTTAGTCTATGAGGCCAACTTAAGGCTTCAAGATCCAGTTTATGGATGCATGGGAGCGATCATAGTTCTTCAGAAACAAGTAAATGAGCTTGAAACTGAGCTCCGACGACTGAAAGAAGAGCTCTTGAAGAATTCATACAGCGTGATCCCTTCGTCGACGCACGGCTCCTCCACCGAGCAGTGGCCGCAGCTGCCGGAGTTTCCCTCAGCTTCATCTTCCATGTTTATAAACACTGAGTGGCAGAATCAAAATATGAAATGAGTGTGCAAGAATATCTATATCTATATATCTCACTTTCATAAAATGGAGAGCTTTTATGTAATATATGAATACAAAAAAATTTATGTGTAAAGTTTTTATGTTATGCATGATTAAAAAAGACCAATTTTTTCTTAAATTTATGATAGGAGTGAGGGTTACTTAAAGGTTATAGCTTCTCATGCCTGTTTGGGGCTATTGTTCAATAGGCTATTACTATGTGAGAAGAAAAGGACTTTTTTTTATTGAGTTAGGAGTTTTTTTATTTTACTTGTTTTTGAAATAAGGAATGGATAAAAGAGTTTGCACATTTTAGTTTCTTTTATTTTTAAATAGTTATTTATTTGATGAAGTTTTAAATTCTATTTTTATGGTATAATTTTATAACATTTTCATGAGAAAGGAAAATATTAAAGCTTGCTTAATTGTTTTGCAATACTTGACTTATTAGATTTTTATTTTTTATTTTATTTTATTTTATTTTATTTTAATTTTAAGTTAGGGTCTAAGTGTGAAAATTAAGTAAGCTTCATCTGATTAAAATTATTGTAATTTTTAAGTTATCTAAATAATAGCATGAAAAACCATGCAACTGATTGGGTGTGTCAAATAGATGCAAATAATAGTTTTAATAATTACTTGTAGCTAACTACTTACACTATTATCTTCATAGGGAAGTTGGTGGGTCTCTTGGCTTTACTCAAATTGTTTAATAGTTGGGTTTTCATAAATAGGATATCCATTTTTTTAGAAATGAATAAATAGCAAATTCACTCCATCTCTTCCTTAGCTTTTGTTGTGATGAGATATTTGTGATAGGAGAGATTAATTTTACTTCTTATGATTGAATAAACATCTTGTGCACACACAAATAAGCATGGCAAATAAGCAAGAAACATAATTTCTTAATGATAAATCAAGGCAAATTGGAGAATGTTGGAGTCAGACATAGGTTGATTGCAACTGAGCACTGGGTGGGCAATGATGGGTCTGGAAAGTTAATCATTAAAGGATGAAAGACATTAATTTTGATAAATACTAGATGATGAACTTCACACAGAAGATAGGCATTGAGAATTAATCAATGCAAATCATCATAAAATGGCTTCATGTAAACATCAAAATTCTTATGTCATTCAGGAATATGCGTTAAACATTAGTTAACAAGGGGCGTTAGCCAATTAAATAATATCAATCATTACATAAGTTGGGCATTAGAGGACAACTAGCTTCAACAATGTTTTAATTTCGATGTTAAATGATGAGTGATGATGATATGAGCTTAACGTTAGGCATTGTAGGTTAGATATGTGGCTATTATCTACTTAAGAGAAAGATTGATGATCAAGGAGACAGGTGTGGAAATGTAGAAAGGTAAATAGGGCTAATTAATTGGGGACTTTTGATGTTTGTTCTGACTAATCCCATCGACATTTGGTCAAAATTATATAAAACTATCAAAATTGGTATATTTATAGATTTTACGAGATTTATCTTAACCTAACAATAAAAAATAAATGCCTTAAATTGAATTATCTCGTTCCTAGACCAACAGGCTAATTTCAGTTAGGGTTAGTCTAGATGATTAATTGGTGGCTAGTGATGATCATTATTCATGAAGTTCTAAATCAAAGAATAAATGGTACATTTCAAAGAAAATAGTGCTTCTTATCTAACATTATTGCTGTAGAAAAAAAAATATGATAATTGTATCATCCAAAAAATTTTGAAAAGATATAGGATAATATTAATCAACAATTGAAAGAATTGGAGATAGACAATGATTTAAGTGTGGAAATATTTTTCTTTGAGCTTAAAGTAACAACATCAATGCTTCATAAATCAAAAACACTTCAACTAAAGTTGTAAGGTATTAAAAATGGTTGTTGAACTATGAATTTTTTATGGAAAAATTTTGTATATCTACATGTTAACTACATCATGAATGGCCCATATATTGTCAAAACTATAAGAGAAAATTTGCAATGTGAAAATAAGAAATAATGATATGATAATTAAGCAATAATAAAAAAAAAAAACGAAGAGATTGAAATAACTTAGAAAGGAGGTGTGTCAATGACACTATCATTAGAGTAGATCATGCACTGAGTGCATCAACTGGTAGCTCTCTCTTCTTCTGCCAAGATAAAACCCATTCCCTTGTCTTCATTATGTGTGCACCATGAATAATCTAAAGAACTTTAAACTAATTACATGTATCTAGTTTCTCAGAAAGAAGAAAGAAAGTTGAGGAGAAATATAAGAAAATTCAAAATTATTCATTCCATTTCAAGCTCAAACTCTCATTTATTTATAATTGAATAATGAGGGTAAAATAATAAAAATTATATGTGATTTATATCCATTAAAAAAGGTTCTTTTAAAATATAGATTATTTAATTTTTTAAATTTAATTTAAATTATGTTGTATTTAATATTTTATAAAGTTTAGAACATTAATTTTAATGTTAAAATGTTATAGCATTTTTATGTTATAAAATTAAATCATTTACACATCATAATTTAATGTTTTTTTATTCTTATTTATAAGAATTCCCTCCTCAAATAAAATAAGATAAAATAAAATAAATGGAGGTGAATAAAATAAGAGATCAACATTTCAAATTTGGACAACTTTTAGCATGCTTTCAACAAGTGCCTTTCAGATTTGAACTTTTCTAACCAAAAGCTAACAATAACATAGAATAAATAAAATGATAATTAAGAGACAACACCTCTTTTAATATAAGATAAACAAGTTAACATATGATTTTTTTTCCATAACATTTAGCAATTTTTGCTTTTGCTATAGCTGTTTGATAATTATAGTTTAATAAAATGACAGACTCATGTTTGTTAATATAATTATGTGAACAAGCTAACATATTCTTAAGCCACATTTTGCTTCAAAAGTCGCAAGATCAAGTGCTATAAATTTTGCTTCCATAGTAGATCTAGATATTACTGTTTATTTATTATATTTTTATGATATTGTACCACCACAACATATCAAGACATAATCACTAGTTACTTTAATATCTTCATTATCGACAATCCAAGTAACATCACAATATCCTTATAGCAATATAGGAAAACCACTATATTGAATTTTATGGTTTATTGTACCATTTAGATATATAAAAATCCTTTGAATTGCTTTTCAATAATGAGGTACTAGTATATTTACTCAATTTTCCTACAACACAAGGTCGAGAATGATTTGTTAGATGCATCAGATAATCAATTATTTGATACTATTTTAATTGAGACACATTGTCACCCAAATTCTTGATAAGAAATAAGTTAGAGTTATATGAAGTGCCTATGAGGTTTTTATTTTGATAATCAAATATTCTAATAAGTATTACATTAGCTTCACTTAAATCTTTCATATAATATTAAGTTGATAAGAAATCTTTAATATTTTTTATAATATCTCTATTTGTGTCAATAATCAAAATATCATTAATATAAAGATATACCATAATAACCATTATCAACAGTTTTAATATAAACACATTTATGAGACCCACTAATAAAAAATTGATATGATAATATTTTATTATCAAGTTCTTTTTACTAATGTCTTGTTTTAATCCATTTAAAGACTTTAATAATTTATAAATTTTTTTAAAACCTATAGGTTGATCTATATAAATTATTTCATTCAAAATCTAAAAGTATTATTAAAAATCTTGCAACATGAGGATAAATATCAAAATAGTTGATGTCATATTTTTTGTGCATATCCTTAACTACTAATCTTAATTTATATTTATTTATAGATCTATCTAATTTTTGTTTCTTTTTGAAAATCTACTTACATCTAATAGTTTTACAACTAGGGTGTAAATCATAAATTATCTAAGTATTATTTGATAAGAAGGAATCTATTTCATTATCGACAATATTTTTTAAAAAGAAGCATCTATAGAGTTCATAGTTTCATTAAATGCTATATGATCATTTTTTAAAACAAAGATTTTAATTAAAAATAAATAAATATAATCACCTATATTTTTATCTTTTCTAATTCTCTTACTTTTTTTTCCATTAATTTAATTGTTATAATTTTTTCTATTGAAATAAATTTCTTATCATTATATTTTATACATTTTTTTTCTATTGAAAATACATATTATAAATTGTAACATCTCTAGATTCTATAATTTTACTACTAAAAATATCATTAATGACTGAGTTAATAATAAAAATCTATTAGTAGGATTATTAAAAAAATATTTGATGAATGCACCATCTAAACTTGTAGATCTTAATGTCCTCTCTTTACATTCTTAAATAGATATTTTAGCTAAGCAATTCCAAACTTTTAAATAAATAAAAATCTTAAGTTCTCTAGTTTTCTAAAATTCATGAAGTGTTTAATTAGAATTCTTATAAGGTACCTGATTCAAGATAAAATATGTTTATACTAAACCTTTTATCATAAATTATATAGTAAGTTTGATGAGATTAACATTATAATTATAATATCAATTAATGTTTTTTTTTTTTCTACTAGTCCATTAAATTGAGGTGAATATGGAGTAGTAGCTTGATGAATAATATCAATCTCTTGACAAAATAATTAAAATAAGTGAAATATATTCTTTATCTCTATATGATCTTAAAATTTTAATTTTCTTATTTGATTGATTTTTTACTTGTAATTTATAATATTTCAAAATATTAAAAGAATTAATCTTTAGTTTTATTAAATAAACATGGCAAAATTTTAAAAAATAATAAAACTTAGAAATAACTTACAGCCTCTAATTAAATTATCATTTAAGCCATAGACATCACTAAAATTAAGATTTAATAGATCATTTTGCTTGATTAAAAAAAGTTTAAATGGTTTTTTTGTTTATTTTATTTTAGAATAAATTTTACATTTCACATTTGTTTTAAATATTTATTTAAGATATTATATCTATATGCATCATTCTTTTAATTATTTTATAGTTTAAATTTCCTAATCTTTCATGCCAACTATTAGAAGAAAAAAAAATTAATGAAAAAGAAGATGGTGGATATCTTTGTGTGATGGGGTGGATATCCACCATAGATCTTGAAAGATTTATGTCTAAATGATCAGACATATCTTTCAACAAATAATATATTACTTTAAGGGATAGGAATATTACTTTC